TATTTCTTTGCTTCTGCTGACTTTAGGTTTTGTTTGTTCTTTTTTTTTTTAATTCTTTTTAGGTGGTAGGTTAGGTTGTTTATTCAAGATTGTTCTTTTTTGAGGAAGGTCTGTATTGCTATGAACTTCCGTCTTAGGACTGCTTTGCTACATCCCATAGATTCTGTGTGGTTGTGTTTTCATTGTCATTTGTCTCAAAGTATTTTTTATTTCTTCGATTTCATCACTGACGCACATTGGTTTTTTAGTAGTGTGTTGTTCAGTCTCCATGCAGTTGTTTTTTTCCCTCATTTGTTCTTCTGTGGTTGATTTCTAGTTTCATGCCATTGTGGTCAGAAAAGATGCTTGAAATAATTTCTAACCCCTTAAATTTGTTGAGGTTTCTTTTATGCCTGAGTGTGGTCTATCCTAGAGAATGTTCCATGAGCACTTGAGAAGAATGTATATTCTGTTCTTTGGGGATGTAATGTCCTAAAAATATCAACTAAGTCCAACTATTCTATTGTATCATTTAGTATGTCTATTGCCTTATTGACTTTCTGTCTGGAAGACCTGTCCAGTGATGTTAGTGGGGTGTTAAAGTCTCCTACTATTATTGTATTCCCATCAATTTCCCCCTTTATGTCTGTTAGTACTTGTTTTATATAGTTGGGTGCTCCTATATTGGGTGCATATAAATGAGTATAATGTCCTCATCTTGTACAGCTCCTTTGGTCATTGTCTAGTGTCTTTCTTTATTTTTCTTTATGGCCTTTGTTTTAAAGTCTGTTTTGTCTGATAAGAGTATTGCTACTCCCACTTTCTTGTCATTTCCATTTACATGAACTATCTTTTTCCACCTTATCACCTTCAATCTATGTGTGTCCTTCATCCTAAAGTGGATCTCTTATAGGCAGCATATTGTAGGTTCTTGTTTTATTATCCAGTCTGCCACTCTGTCTTTTGATTGGAGCATTTGGTTCACTGACAAAAGTCCAGGACCAGATGGCTTCACTTGGGAATTCTGTCATACATACAAAGGAGAGCTCATACTGATCCTTCTCAAACTCTTCCGAAAGATTGAAGAGGAGGACATTCCCAAACTCATCCTATGAAGCCACCATCACCATGATACCAAAGCCACACAAAGACTAACCACCAAAAAAGAAAACTATAGGCCGATATTGTTGATGAACATAGATGCAAAAATCCTCAACAAAATATTAGCAAACAGAATCCAAAAACACTTAAAAAAGATCATACACCATGATCAAGTTGGGTTCATCCCAGGGACACAAGGATGGTTCAACATACGCAAATCAATCAACGTGATATACCATATCAACAAGAGAAAGGACAAAAATCATATGATCATCTCAATAGGTGCAGAAAAAGCATTTGATAAAATTCAACACTTATTTATGATAAAAACGAACTAAAGTGGGTATAGAGGGAACATATCTCAACATAATAAAAGCTATTTATGACAGATCTACAGCCAGCAGAATACTCAATGGTGAAAAGCTGAGAGCCTTCCCACTAAAATCTGGAATAAGACAAGGATGCCCACTCTCACCACTTCTGATATAATATTGGAAGTCATAGCAGTTAGACAAGAAAAAGAAATAAAAAGGATCAATTCAATTAAAAAATAACATTTTAAACTAAATTCTATTATAACTCAGTGTGTTAGGGTGACACGTGCATTTGGTTGTCATGTCTTTTAAATATTCTTTAATTTGGAACATTTCCTGTTTTTTTAATGACTTCGAATTTAAAAAATTCAGACAAGGTATTTTTAGACTTTCCTTTGTTTGGGTTGGCCTGGTATTTCCTAACGACTGATGCAGGTTACACATTTTTGGCAGACATACCCCTGAAACAATGTGTCCTTCTCAAGTGCATTGTCCTTGGAGACTTGTCCTGTGTGTTTGTCCCAGTGATGATGTTGTCTTTGATCAGTTAGTTAAGGTCTCTGCCAAGTTTCTCCATTGAAAGTTACTATTTTCCCCATTGTAATTAGTAAGTGATTTTTGAGAAGATACTTTAAGACTATGGAAATACCTTGCTTGTCATCAGACTTTCACCTGCATGTGCTGATCCACAGGTATTTTCTGGACTAAATCAGTTAAGTATAATGTGCGCTTAATGGTGATGTTCTTACTCCATGAATCCATCTATATTTGTTAGGTGTATTATACCCAAAGAGAATTTTCCCTTCTTCTTTTATAATTTATATATAACTTTATTATTTTATTTATTTATATTTTATATTCTTTACAATAACTATTTATTATGATTTTCCAGTTGTCCCAAACTGGACTTGTGAGAACTTCTTGAAGCTGGGGCCTGTGTCCTTTCGACATATCTCCATCATTTTGAAATGCCTTACTCCTCTCCCAGAAAAAATGTCATCACCTTGAATTCCGTATAAAGTCTCCTCTCTGTGTTCACGTTCTAATACGTCAGGGTAGTTTTTCCATATTTTCATAGTTTCAGTGAACTTTCTGAGAGTGAGTTTTATGTCACTCTTAGGACCTTTGTTTTCCTCTTTTCTCTTCTTCAGTTTCTGGACCCCTTAGATCTCTCTGAGACACATAGTGGGAGATTGAAAGATCGCTCTGTTAGAATTGCTGTTTAATTTTCTATTTACAGGGAATCTGACATTTTTATTATTCTCCAACTCCCACTTATGCTGAAGGCCTAGGATTTGTGTGTTTTTATTTGTTTTTGTTGGCTGTATTTTTTACAGTATTTGTGAAAAGTTTCAGATTTAGGTGGCTGCTACTACTGCAACTACCCCGAATTCCAGGTCCATATTTTTAAAGCGTTCTACAAAACATATTGATATTTTACGTTATTTGCAAATAGGCCACGATCTAACCGGAATTCGTGGGCTGCATTGCTCTACCTTTAGTGTTCAGCGTTCTCTTTATCCAGTTGTAGTTAAATAGAATTTTCTTTATCACTTTAATTATTTTATCATATAGGATACCTATCAATCCAGGAGGTATCTCTCTGAAAGATGTGTCCATCGTAATTGTAAAATCATGACTGAAGATGATTAAGACTTACTATGTGCCAATCAGTTGTGCTTTAATATATCTCCCTTAGCTTTAAAAATTATCAAATATATACTTAAATACATGGAAATTCAAGCCCATGAAATATAAAAATAAACACACACACACACACACACACACACACATATAGGTTAAAACAAGGTAACTGATCAGTAACAGCTGATTATAAGAATATAGACAAATGTACTCAGAAGCAGTTACTTCAAATGATGAAATAAGCTCTTTGAGCCTAATTAATATTATTCCTCCAGTTTCTCAGTAAAGAAGTCTGTTTGTGGTTGGGAGATAAGGGAGATTTGGATCAGGAGCAAAACACTCCAGGGCCTGAAAATTGCAGCGCAGAAGACAGTCTGCAAAAGTAGGAAATAGATGAGTGCAGGAGGCATGTCCCATCTGAGAGCAGCAGACGTTTCTCTGTTCTCTGGAAGCTGTGAGCCCAGCCTCAAGCTCTCTTTGCTTGTTCAAAAAGAGCTAGAAATTAGGCTGCGTATGAGAAATCTCTTGCTTTTGAATATTTTAAAATATTTTCAAAATCACGGTGTGTGATGTGGGAAAAAAGAAAAAAAACAACACTGCATTAAGCCAGAGTTGGTTATTATCCCCCAGTTTGCAGCCTCTGCTTTGGATACTGAGTAGAGACTCAGGGGTGTTGTAGTAAGAAGAAATTGGGATTAGAAAAGTTGGCTCTGAGCTCAGGATCACCCCTTGTTAGCTGTGTCAAATTGGGCAAGACGTGTGATTAGTGTTAACTTCAGTTCTCTTGCTGAGGAGGATGAGTATGCTAAAGTATGAAGACATACACAGATCTGCTAATTTTTATAATGTTGTAATTCTATTGAAATTATATGTGAACATGTTTGTATCTTCTATTAATTTCTAAGTTTTAAACTTAGAAAAATGAAATTTATTGAAAAATATGGTTTCTTAGGAATTTGTTGATTTACTTTTGACATTTGACTATACATTTGCTAACTGTATCCAGTTTGCTCTTATTCAAGAGGCTCTCTGTTGAGGATTAGTGACATAATTCGTTCCTGTGCCACATAGAGGCTAGTGCCTTCCTGTTGTCTTTCACACACTAGAGGGAGATACATTAGATGTTCAACTCAGAATGCCTGTTCTGCTTGTTGAACTGTTGATGGGGTGAGCTGGTATTTCTGCTTAGTCCTGTGAAGAACCAAATCTCTGGGCAGAAATTCTGCTGGTCGCTAAGAACTAACGTTCCTCTAAAGACGCTTGCTACTTAATTTTTATTTGTATTGTCCATAATGCATTCGATCTGTCTGAAACAACATGTTGTACTGTGAAGGGTTACTTTAATTATCTGTAGGTCATGTTTTGTTTTGTTTCATCCAAACTGTTCTTTTATAAAACAGTATACCCAGAAGCATAAAATTCACTTAAGTTGAAACATTCTGTGCCTTGAAATTACTATGCTCTTCCCAACACCTCTCCTCTAAAACAAATGAATGAATGAAATCTGATTAAATAGCCTTCTCCTTATAATTGGCTTTTTGGAAAAAAAAAAAAAGAAATGAATTTGTCTTTTTTTTGTGAAATGTGCAAGTGGCATGCCTGCATTTTTCTCAGTGCAAGGTTTTCAGTTAGAATTGAAATGCAATTACAAAGTGAATTGGTGCAGTCGTCTGGATAAATCAAGCAAAATTCTCCTCTGACTCAGTGATCTTCATATATCAGACAAAAGTATTATTTTAAAAACTTGAATTATTTACTAACCACCTAAAATCTCCAACTAGATTTACTTATAAATGTCTCATATTTTTGAATTGTTTTTATGTTGTTCTACCATGTTCTGGGAGCACTAGGTTTCTTGCATATTATTTGAACCCCATGTGCAAACTCAGCTTAAGAGTGTCCTCCTTGACTGATACATAGAATATTTGCATATAGTTGGGAATATTTGTGTTCATCAGCTTATTATAGTTTGCTAGATGTATACTCTACATTTTGCAAAACCATATTTCAGTATGTTAAAGTGTGTAGTATCTAAGTGTGTGTTGGTCTGAATTAGTTTTTCTGTGACCTTGGCAAATTGTTTACTCTTTTGCATTTTTTTTTCTTTTCACAGATGCATTTTGTAGGAGTATTCTGAGGATGAATGTTTGCAAATCATTTTGAAATTGCCAAGTGCCACATACAGTAAGTAATACGTATTTTTATTTTTCCATTCAACAGCAGTCATGCTGAATATGGCAGACAGTCATAAAAGAATACATTTCTATTTACAGTTCTTGATATTTGTAAATACTGAGGAAAATGTATATAAAAGGTAAAAATTTGGGCTATTTTCTGGTCTGAATTAAATTGTATAACTTCAAGATTTCTAGTGACTGATTTTACCATTATTCTATATACATATCTCGTACGTAATTTTATCACTTATTATTTGAGTTTTTTTCTCTTTTAATCGTAAGTTGAGAAGCATGAAGAAAAAACTGATGTTATTAGGCAGTGTTGCTATGGAAATTTTAAAAAGGAATATTGAATTAAATATTAAGATTTGCTGAGGATTAAGATTTGCTGTGTAGGAGATAGTTTATATGTTTTGCCTTAATTCTCCCTCAAATATTTTAAGATCACTGTTTTTATTTACATTCTATAAATGAGAGAACAGAGAACCCAGAAGTTTTTATTACTCACTCAGTATCTATTTAAAATGATGACCTGGGTTTTGATCAAAACATAAGACTTTTCAGAAAATACAAGAGCCTGAGTATTTAAGAGTACAAACTTGTTCTAATTATTTCTTTGGGTTTCTATTTTGCTTAAGCAGTGTCATGGAAATGGTGCAGCTTTTTGTTGTTGTTGTTGTTGGCTACCATGTCACTGCTTCCATTTCAAATGATGCTTCTGATGCCTCACTTGGACTGCTTTAAACTGGCAGGAAATAAGTGAAAATGTGAATTCTGGAAGAAAGTTTATAAATCACCTAAATTATTCTTTGATAAAAAGTTCTTAGAGTTCTGGAGTTCTCTAAAAGCCTTCCTTCCTTCATTAAAGAAACACAATTAAATGCTTTCATATTACTATTTTACAGTTGGAAGGAACCATAGAATCACGGAGTCCTAGCCTCCACATGCTCAGATTCTTTGTTTGATGCAGTAGGATAATCTGGAGGATGATTCTAAATGAAAATTTCCAAAAAATGTGGAGGCAGTGATGACAGTATTGATGTTTGCACATTGTCTCCCAGTGTAAGTACTTTTAAAAAGGCAGCATAGTGTAGTCTTTTAAGAATTTTGACTCTGAATTCAGACCAGCTGGGTTTAAATTCTGGATTTATCATTTATTAGCTATATGACTTTTAATAAAGTACTTAATGTCTCTTAAAAATGGATATAAGATTAGGAATGACCAAATTTGTGGTGAGTTAATACATGTAAACTACAGTACAGGTCCAGCTACATAGTTAATGCTTGGTAAATGTTCATGGTGGTTAAACTGGAATTGATTCATGTGGATATTTTACTTCAAGTATGTATGTTAATAAGCATTGCAACTTCATGATTACATTATATCAAGTACACAACAAAGGTACTCAGCAAGTACTGTCGATTGACATGCTCAAAAAGAAACAAAACTTCAGCCTTCTTCATACACAGATCAAGATGCTTTTAGTACTTTTCCTTCTTTGAACTTTTAGTGAAGAAACAAACCGTTCAGACAAACAGCACTTATATCCTATGTGCTGACTGCACACCTAGCCTGCAAGTGTGTTTGTGTGCCGTTTTGAGGAAAGAGGGGCCAGTCATGTGCTTATGGAGTCTGAAATGCTTGTTTTCAAGGAGGCCAGGCAAACTTACAGATACAGAATAAAGAAAATTGTTAAAATGATTGTCAGAAAATTGGGGGAATAGTCTCATCTAATGTTCTGTTAATTCATGGAAGTTAAAGGGGATGTGGACAAAAAAACAGTATGTATTTATTAAGTATCTACTGTATCCCATGCACTTTACATTCAACATCTCAGTTAATTAATCTAAGCAATAGTATCATGAGGTGGATAAGTTATTATCTCCCATTTTTCCTATGAGGAAGATGCACCACAGAAAGCTTAAATTTATCATCCGTCGGAACAAAGCTTGAGGGTGGTCTAATTCTTTTTTGTACTGAAATATAAGTGACATAAACACTATTATTTTCAGATGTACAACAAAAAGAGTCAATGTTTGTGTGTACTGCAGAATGGTCACCACAGTAAGTGTAGTTAACATCTGTCAACAAACATCCTTACAGAATATTTTTTTCTTGTGATGAGGACTTTCAAGATTTACTCTCTTAGTGACTTTCAAATACCAGCACAATATTATTAATTACCATGCTATGCATCATACCCGCATGACATTTATTTTGTAACTGGAGGTTTATACCTTTTGACCCCCATCACCCATTGTGCCCACCCCGACTCTCTCCTCTGGCAACCACCAGTCTGTTCTCTTTATGAGCGTAGGGGTTTTGTTTGTTTTTAAATCCCACATATAGGTGAGATCATAGGGCATTTGTCTTGCGCTGTCTGACTTGGTTCACTTAGCATAATGCCCTCAGGGTCTGTACATGTAGTTGCACATGGCAAGAATTCATTTTTTTTTATGGTCGAGTCGTATTCTGGCGTGTGTGTGTGTGTGTGTGTGTGTGTGTTTGTGTATCACAATTAGAATGATATGGTATGCTATATATATTCATATTTATCTCTCACATTTTTATCCAATAACCCATCAATGGGCACTTAGGTTGTTTCCATATCTTGGCTATGGTAAAAGATGCTGCAATGAAAATGGGGGTGCATACATCTTTTTGAGTTAGTGTTTTTGTTTTTTAAAATAAATACCCAGAAATGGAACTGCCAGATCCTATGGTAGTTGTAATTTTTTGAGGAGCTTCTATACTGTTTTCCACACCACCAACATTGCACAAGGGTTCCCTTCTCTCCACATCCTCGCCAACATTTGTTATTTCTTGTCTTTTTGATAATAGCCATTCTGACTGATACAAGGTGATATCTCATTGTGGTTTTGATGTGCATTTCCCTGGTGATTAGTGATGTTGAGCATTTTTTCATGTATCTGTTGACCATAAGTGTATTTTTTGAAAAATGTCTGTTCAGATCTTTCACCCATTTTCTTTTTAGAGGTTGATCTAATTCTAAAACTTCTTTAACCTCTTAACCTGGATGTTAAGCCTTGAAATTCACTGGCTGATCTAACTTTCTTTTATTTGCATAAAAATCTTACTCCCAAACCTCAGCTCATAGATATTAATTCTTTAATAAGTAGTTGATGAGTGAATTTCAGCTCAACAAATGACAGTTGCCTTATATTAAGTGTTGATAGGACCACGCAGCAACTCAAAACTAATTGCCTTGAAAAAGTGCTCTTTGAATAAAGAAAACTTGAAAAATTAAAAAGTTCCTTCCCTAGGGCCAGAGACCATACCTTATGCTTCTATTAATCTTACTTCTCAAAACATGAAGTGACTTGATCACACCTTCTTCTTGCAGTTTTTCAGTCACTTCATGCAGGGCAGAGAGGTTTGGATTGAAAAGTCCAGCCTGACTTCATCATTCGCCTTCCTATTCATCATTTTCTGGTGTGTCAGAGTTCAGGGACACTCCTTACAAGTCGTCAGCCGCACTGGGACTTGCCCTCTCCACCCTTTGGTCAACTTCCTCTTTGCATTTCAGTCATCCACTAATCCCAGCTCCTTTACACATCACTTCTTCTTTTTTTTTTTTGATTTATCATAACATTTTGTGTATATTTCCCTGTGCTATACAGTGTAATCTTGTTTATCTATTCTACAATTTTGAAACACTTCTTGAAACAAACCATTAGTAACATTTTACCGGAGGGGTATTTTCAAACTTCCTAGTATATAAAGTACTATTGCTATAAGTATGAATTTGGCCAGTTCTTTGGTGTTCTCTCACTACTCTCGGTTTTGAGCTCGAAGAACACATAGAGTGCTTCTACTTTCAATTTCCAGAGTTAGACTTTGAAGACAAAGCTAGTGATTACATTTAGTGATTCTGTTTCATTTATTTGAAGAAAAAATCACATGGTCCTGTGATATGAGAGGCACGGTGATAGTTCAGTACTAGAGCAAGTGAGAGGGAGAAACAAAAAATGACTTTCAAGAAACTTCTGTCTTCATTTTGAGGAAATAAGATGTGCCCAGGCATAAATAAGGCTGAGGATGTGGTGTCAGGGTGTGGGATCATCAGAATAACCTAACCTAGTCAAATTAGTAAAGCCATTTCAAATTATTTGAGAAATAATAAAAAAGGTCATATATATATACACATAAATACATGTATATGAAAATAAAGCATTAGAGATTTAGGAAAGGAGATACAATTATGAACTGCATTGGTGCAAGATTTCATCATTGCGATTGCATCTGTGCTAGATCTTTATGCAGGTGGAAAGTGTTAACAAAAGTCAAGGAAATGGCATATCCAGGCTTAGCAGAGAAAAACCATACTTTACAGTCAGTGAATGGTAAATTAACTCGTTTGACAAGAGTAAGTTTCTTGTCTTGGACTAAGGACGTAACACTGGTAAATAAGGCTGGAGCTGGTTTGTAGGTAATACTGATAATCAAAATAAGAAATTTGAATTTAATAGGGAATGGAAAAAAACCAGAATATTTTGTAAGGCCAATCCTGTAAACAGAAAATCTCTTATTTGAATATTAGTCTGGTGTTGTCTTCACAATGGATTCCAGTTCTAGACAAGAAGAACAATTTTTAGGAAAATGTAGCAGAGTAAGAATGAAGGGATGAGGGTAAAGCCCAGGTCATAGCAGTGGGAATGGAGAGAAAGGAACAGATGTGGGTGGAATTTTTGAAGGAAGTAGGGTCAGGGAATAATAATAGTAATTAACACTTGTGTAGCATTTACTGCATACTAGGCTCTGTTTTAAATGATTTACATTTACTTAAGCTTCCAACAACCATGAGTGGTAGATGCTAATGTCATCCCTACTTTGCATAATAGAAACTAGGGCACAATTTAACTAAGAATTTAAATTGTCCCAGGTCAAGAACTGGAAAATAGCCAGGCTGACACTTGAATCCCATTCAGTCAAGCTCCAGAGTATCTCTAGTTAACCACTGTACATCACTCCTCTGAAAAATAACT